ATACAGAATATATATGTTGTTTCTAATACATCTACACTAATACACAGTGATTCTCGATGTAACGGACCACCACTATAACGGATATTTCTTAGTACGGAGATTAGTAATCTCACGATAACTTATAACCGACTAGGTTTCAGGCCGCCCAGGCGTTGCTCCGGGTTTAAAATTCATGATTTACAATTTTTTGGATCCAACCTGGGTTTCCTTGGATCCAATCAGGTTCCCTTGAATCCAACTTGGGTTCACTTGGGTCCAACCTAGATCCAACCCAGGTTCACTTGGATTTAACCCGGGTTCACTTGGATCCAACCTGGGTTCCCTTGGATCCAACTGGGTTCCTTTGGATCCAATCCGGGTTCCTTTGGATCCAACCCAGGTTTACTTGAATCCAAACTGGGTTTACTTAGAACCAACTCTGGTTCATTTGGATCCAACCCGGGTTCACTTGGATCCAACCCGGATTTACTTGAATCCAACCTGGATCCAACCCGAGTTTTACTTGGATCCAACTCGGGTTCCCTTGAATTCATCCCGGGCTTTCTTGGATCCATTTCAGGTTCACTTGGATCCAACCCGGGCTTTCTTGGATCCAACCTAGGTTTTCTTGAATCTAACTCAGGTTTTTTTAAATCCTACCCAGGTTCACTTGAATTCAACCCAGGTTCTTTTATAACCAACCTGGGTTTACTTGGATCCAACCCAGGTTTCTTTGGATCTAATTCGGGTTTACTTAAATTCAAGTTGGGTTTATTTGAATCCAATTTGGGTTTACTTGAATCCAAGCCAAGCCAGATTTATTTAAATCCGATCTGGGTTTACTTGAATTCAACCTGGGTTTACTTGAATTTGATTTGGATTTACTTGAATCTAGTCTGGGTTTACTTGAATCCAATATGGGTTTACTTGAATTCAATTTAGATTTTTTTTGAGTTCAATAGATTTTTTTGGATTTAATTTGAGTTTTTTAGTAATATATTCACGAATCAAAAAAAAACGACAAAGAACAAATAAAAACGTCCCGAATATTAAGACAAATACCCACAATTTCCATAAACGTTCTAGAAAAAAAAACATTTGTTAATAATGAACTCATAAACAAACAAAACTCATTAAACTAAACCTAACTTCAACATAATCAGGTATGATGCGTTAGCAACAAAACTAAGAATACCAGGGATGGCTTCTCCAACCAAGGCATTAAGTTGGATATGATCTAAAATGGCCAATACTGCCTGGGGAAGATCTGCAATAAAACCGTTAATCATGCATGAAACAAAAGTAAATTATGCATTTTGATGCGCATATATTTTTTTATAATTATGTATCCATAATTTGAATCCATAATGTATATTTATGTATGATTATGCTACGTTTTGCGTACGTACGTGCAAAATTACTTAATAGCAACCAGGGCTTAACCCACTATATTAATTTACCGGCCATTCAAAAGTGCCATTCTTGACCTATAATATACAGTATTAGAATTTAATTGGCTAAATAGTAATGCGCAATATACTAACTTCGATGAATCAAAAAAAACACTTCAAACAATAGCAGTGGCGCAGTAAATGGCCGGCAAATTAATATAGTGGGTTAAGCCCTGATAGCAACATACTTTATCATTATGCAGCATTATGTGATCATCGTCCCTGGCTAGAAAGTAGGGTTGTTAATGAGCTATAATAAAACATAAACCACTCCAGTTTAAAACTGGAGTGGTTTATATGTTTTATTATGGCTTGGAGTACTCCATTAACAACTCTACTAGAAAGTTATGGAAACACGGAAATTATGCGATTTTTGAATTCTTAACAAATATGAGACAAATATTACTAAACCATTTTTCAATTACGTATTAAGTACTGTATATAAAAACTTATGATCAATGTTGATTTGAGGATTAAGAAATATGTTATTAGTGCATCAAGACGGGTTTAACTTTTTTTTCATTTCATAAAGTACGATTTTATTTGATTAATATGTAATGAGACCAATATACGTACCCATTTTTCAATTTCCTTATTCGGAAGGGTACCTAAAGCAAATGTAAACCTTAGGGTTTGTTATTAATAAAATTATTCCTTCGAAAATTTTTATTAGTGTTCCAAGATTGTTTCATAATTTGCGTTAATCATTAACATAGCGGTACGTAGTAAATCCAGAAATCACAATAATTGCAGATGGGTCCGTTAAAAATCGATCGAAAATGAGGCAGATAATGTATTTATTTCAATAGTAAGTTTTTTTCAATCTTACATTATCGGCAATGGAAGACAGCAAAATTCAAGAAGCTCTTCGTTATTTGGAACAAGGAGACAAAGCGTGAGTTTTAATCTTATATTTTGTGTTTTTGTGGCCTTAACAAAAAGTTTAAGTACGCACTTCTTTTAGAACCGAAAAGAACTGGTTTAAAAAACCAGAATGGGATGTTGCTGGACAGAATTACGAAAAAGCTGGTATTTGTAGCTTTTTAAAGATCGTTAAAGTTTTTAACGGCATTTTCTTCCGCTTAATGAATTTTGCCGTTTATAGCATCTTGTTTCAAGGCGGCTCGATCGTATGACCAAGCAATTCAGGCTTATCAAAAAGCATCAGATGCTTTATTTAAATCCGATTCGTAAGTTTTTTTTTTTAATTCTCGTTTATTTTTTGCATGTATGCATACTTTATTAATCTTTGCTATTGTTTTACCCTTGATGTTTTAAAGATTATTTATGGCGGCAAAGACTACGGAATCGGCAGCTACAATAGCAGCATTGCACCTAAAACAGCCTGAGCGCGCTGCTGAAATGTATAAGAAAGCTAGTGACCTTTATCTAGCGAATATGAGCCCAGATCGAGCCGGTGAAATGCTGGAAAAGGGTGCAAGGTAAAACTACAATGATGGGATTGATATCATATTATAAATTGGTCGGTTCTCATTAATATTTTCTCATGACCCAGAGCTTTAGAGCCAGTTAATGTTGACAGTGCTATTGAACTGTATATGGCTGCATGTTCCTTATTCGAATCTGAAGATCGTGGACGGTTCGCAATTGACACATTTAGAAAAGCAGTAGCAGTTATGATCAAACATAAAAGGTTTTTATTGAAGTTGTTGATTTTTAACTGGTATAAATATTCAATTACTTATTAACCCTTATTTTAGATATGAAGCTGCGGTAGATATATTACATCGACTAAATGCAATATACCAAAGTATCTCTAATCAGCAGGGCTTAAATAAAACGTGCTTAAGCATCATTATTACTTTACTTGCTGCAGAAGACGAGGTCGAGGCTAAGAAACAATTCCAACTATTTTGCTTGTAATTATAAATTTTGACAATTTGTTTCGTTGTTTTTTTTTTTTTTTTTAGTTTACTTAAAATTAATATTCATAGGCACGCATTTGTTCAGTCTGAAGAGTCTGCAATTGCATCTGCCCTTTTAGATGCATTTGAACAAGGGGATCAAGATCTCCTAACTCAAACTGTTCGTAAACAAACAGTCATTTTTTTGGATAATGAAATCGCTAAACTGGCTAGAGGGCTACAAGTCCCTGGTGCAATAAGTCAACTACCAACTGCACAATCCAACACATCGAATAATGAGGATAATTATATAATACCATATCACGTTGATGAGCAGAGACCTTTACCACCAGAACCCACCGAAGCATCAACCTCTACTTTTGCACCTAATCAAACAGAGATTGAAGATGAGGACGATATATGCTGAAAAAAAATTACAAGCATCTCGACGAACCAGGTAAGTTCTTTACATACGGTTTTTTTTTTACAGTAAATAATGATACAAATCACTGACCTATCGAACGTTAATTCTAACTAATCCACTTTACATACGACTTTTTTTTTTTTTTTTACAGTAAATATTGACACAAATCAAGCATCATTCAACAAGATCATTTACCAATTCATGTGATTTAATGTAATTTATATATGACGAAAAATTTATTAGCCATAGATGAAGAAAATGAATTTTTTTTACTTTTTAGTTTTTGTAACAATAGTACCTAATTAACATACGCAACTTATTTGAAGTATCATTCATCTTGTCATCTAATAAAAAAAAAACAAACCCAATTCATTCGAAAGTGACATTAATGCTTAATTCGTTTAAATGAAAAATATAGAAGTGTAAAGAGTAGAGTTTGGTCCGGATTATAGCAAACCAGTCAAACCGGTTTAATATGTATAGTGGTGGTCCGTTACATCGAGAATCACTGTGTATTAGTGTAGATGTATTAGAAACAACATATATATTCTGTAT